AGGCAAGTTAGCAAGATCGGTCTTATTAAGACCACAAGTATGATTTTCGCGTTCTTGGTATTTAGTCTGAAGTAAGAACTAAGGAAGGGGTTCTGGAACTGCCTCCAAGAAACTACAATCAGGCCTGCAATGTGAACATGGTTCCGGAAAAAGGTTCTGGTTCCTGAAAAAAAGTTCCTGCTTTGTGAAAGAGCCTACTGTAGATTTAATTTGTTGCTTTCGTTTTGCTTACTTGGGTAGTTTTGTACCACTGGTGAATCTGACATGTTACCTGTAGTTTATGTGCATGTCAGTGAAGTATCAGAGCTTCTGGCGGTAGAGATGGTGCTCACCTACAGGCCATAGTGCTGGAATGAATTTCCAAGTTTGTTGAGATGGTGACCTGGGATGACTGGCTAAGATTGCCATGGCCGAGTTACTGGGGTCCTTGCGTGAGAACGCTGGGGAACGATTGTGAAAGAGAAGGCTTTCATGCAGCGATACATAGCAGCAGTACTGGAAGACAAAACTCCTTAGTGAAGTCCTGCTTCACTGGCACACTTCTTGCTCCCTCTGGCTAGGGTCGGCACTGTCTGTAATAAAACGTAATTAAAAGGCACAGTCAGAAGAGAATGTATCGATACAGTGAGCTTTAGCATGGAGTTTTCCCACTAACAGTTATGGCTGAAATTGGTAATGACACCCATATGGTTCTGATTCATGAGGTTTATTTCATTTGCCGTGTCACCAGTGGGGCTGAAAGTGGGGACATGTATAGCTGGGGTAAAGGAAGGGGGGCCAAGTCCCCCCCCACGGAAACAAGCTAGGAGCATTGAGGGGCCTGTTAGGTGTGTCCGGATTTATTTAATTCTTGTTTTCACATCGTTCTTTGGCTACCTGGTCTAATTTTATGTGATAGCTTTCCAATAACGAGGAGAGCTCCCCGACTTCTGCGGATTCGCCAGTGCGCTCCTCAATCTGCACCATCCTCTGTCACCACCTTCCTCAGATAGAACCACGATACTGAACCGGCACCCATTTATTTATTTATTTTTTATGTATACTGTGTGGGCCAGTATTACATTGCTGAAGCTACAGCTCGGCAATAGCCTATATCGAATTTTTACTATATATCAATATTTTTTTCAAAATGAGGTATAATATAGCACGATGCTGTTTCTATCAGTATATTTTAATTGTGTGTTATAATTTGGGCTTTTTTAAAGATAATAGAAATCAACTGTATTCCTTCCTGGTTGTGAACAGGTCATGATGCACAGAATCGCAGAGAAGTGTTGGTGGACGTAGGAGAGTAAAAGCTTATTTGAGTCATATTCATATTAAATGACATTTCTTGGCAGTGTAACCAAATTAAATTATGTTTATGTTAATAATGACAGGCAAGTTTGTCATCATTGCAGAATGCATACAAGAGGAACCTGCGTAAGAGAGCCCAAACATGTTTCCCTGGGCACGGGGGGGTCCTTGGATAAAGAAAGACTGAGGACCGTTGGTGTAGGTGGTTGAAACAGCGATGGAAACACCAACGGCGGCATGGAGCGCAGCGCGGCCTGGATGCGAGACGAGTGTGGATCTGTTTCGCATTAATCTGGCACCATTTTCCACCAAAAAAAAAAAAATCTCCACCTCATGCCTGGCTGTGGGGGTCAGAAACCTCTGCAAGAGCGTGGATGCCTCTGGGCGCAGACGCCAAATGCAGAGCGGGGGCTGAGCTCTGGCGGTTTGGACAAATGTGGAGAGGGGGTAACTTTATCTCCCTTAATCGACGGAGATGGCAGTCACTCTGGATGGGAGCCCCTCCAGGCACACATACAGACAGACACACACACACACACATACACACACTGTCCACGTATTCATATGTTTATGGGGGTTCTCCATTCATTTCTATGAGCATAACCCCCACCCACAATAATAATTACAAAAATGCCTACATAGTCAGGCCTGTCTGCTCTGGCATCAGCCTGCTATGGATGATGCTGATGGTTCAGTTTCAGTGACCTCCACTCGAAACCCTCTACGCTTCCTGTTTGACTCAGCATCACCCACATGTTTACCTGTGTGCATGTGAAGGTCCTCGCTTGTGCGTTTACCCGTGTGTCCCTATGAGCCCCTGAAACCCATTCAGGCCTTAAGGTGTGGTGCTGCACCGTCGTCGCGGTAACAGCTGCCTCTGTTACCATCGTCATGGATATCTATACCATTATCTCAAAACGTAATACTTTCTTCAGTATCGCACTCCTAATGATAAACTTGTCAACGCACGCCCAGAGTAAATAGCGGTGAATCCAGACGAAACTAATAAATCATCTCTGTCCTCACTCTGCCTTGACTTATGCACACACACACACGCACACACATGCACACACACGCAGGCCAGGCCTCTCGCCCTGCGGCCTGACCATGCTTTCCTTGGCAGGGCAACGTGAAACATCATCGCTTCATCTCTCCCTCCATTGGTGGCTGCCCTCCGCCTGCAAGGTCACAGATTAATGCTCCCTCTATTGTGTTTAACGATGGAAAAATGACTTCAGTTGAAACCTCACCATCTCCATCTCTGATCCAGAGGGTCGTATTAGGGGAGGAAAACAGATTAAATCGGAACCTGACGTCGACATCCATGGGCCATAAATGACAGCACTCCTCTGCTGAGGGCAGGCCTGCGATGGCTATTATATTCCCAGAAGGCCACAGCACCATCTGAGGTGATATATGACCAGCTTTCCAATCCCAGAGCCGTCAAGGACTTGGCTGGTGAACAACATCAAACACATCAAATGTGCCGGAGATGTTGTCTCTCCTGTCACTCTCCTGATCTCCTAAGGGACTTCCTGGATTTCAGCCCTGAGGGCGAATCCATGTCTGGCATTCTCTTCACACATGGAGTCAGACATAGCTCAGGTAAATATGTACCTGATGGGCTTCAAATATAATTCTTTCATCTGATAAGAGTGTATGCGCAAGACGATGTCCGATATACGTCAGTATACGTCCGTAAGCTTTCTTTGCTAAAATTATTATTTTGCTTTGAAAAGCATCTAAGCTCTTAGTTTAATAGTATGATTTTACAGCAGCGTTTTGCTCACTGGTGACAGCTCAAGTGGTGGTGCTGTTGCTTCAAATCTAGCGATGCGTTTCTGGACGTTCTCTGTGTAGTGTGGGTTTCCTCCTTCAGTCAACATTTAGGTTAATTGGTGTCTCTAAACTGCCTATTTACTATGATTGTTTGTGCATGTGGCCTGCGATGGAACGATATCCTCTCCAGGTAGTACCCCACCCCTCTGCTGTCCGGAACAGGCCGCAGGTGACTTGGACAGGATGCGTGGATATCAGAGACCAGCAACATCCGTATGTCTCTGTCATTTAGCATAATATTTTGTGAAATTATTCTAATTATCATTTTAAAAAGTATTTCAGGAAAGTATTCCCTTTTTTCAAAAAATTGCAGACACAGTTCTCCCTGCCAATGGCCAGCAGTGAGTTTCTTTGATCGATGCTGGATGCTTTATGATCTTATCTTGCTTTGATGTTGCTCCTGAAAGCTCCAGGGCACAGTCTCGATGTATATGATTTATGTTTTATTTCGGCTGTAAATCGGTAGATGTGCAGGAGTTACTGCCACCGTTACGGGATGGACCTTGGTCACCTTCTGCCTGGTCAGCACTGTCCATCAGAAGTTCTCATCCCTGGTCCAGATGCAACGTGACTTGGGTGTCAGAACCAGTCAGCTTCAGGGTGACAGGACTGTCCTGAGCCCCATGACTGAGGAGAACTTCCATATTATTTTTAGGACCCTGAGGCAATTTAGTGACGGATTAACTTTATGGGAAGCCTGGAGTAGGGGGTGGGATGGCTGTCATATCAGACCCATTGCTCCATGATACGCTTCTTAGGAAGACTGGGGTGAGAATGTAAAAGCATCACAGCAAAGTTTCTCTGTCAATGTAGATGTTTGGGAGTCAGCCTTTGTGTGAATGAATGTGCCTCACATCCAGAGCCGTAATAAACTTTAGCAAGCCATAGCTACCCTGCACTCTCTCTCCCTCTCCGTCTCGCTAACCGTCACGCAACACTGTCTGCTTCATAAGCCGATCAGTGTCACCTATTTCCTGGTCACGTCCATCGGGGGCAGGGGCGTACTGAGCCTATCTGAAAGCTGATTGGCCCCTGGAGTGCCCCATTTCCCGTCACTCACCGATTCAAAACACATCATTGGCTAATGACTCCTCTGTATGAATTATGGCCCCTCTTAATGCC